AGGGCCATGTCTGCTTTTGTTTGCCAGCACACCTGCTGGTTAGTTACCCAGCATCTCATTCCACTGCATTTGTTGAGTAAAAGAAAAAATAAATATCATATGACATAGGGAAAACTGCTTGGAACAAATTTGAAGTGCTCTAAAAGTACAAAAAAAAAATAAAGTCAACCATTTGTAGTATGTTCACATAAAAAGCAAGGAAGAAGGATATGTGTTAGGGGAAGAGGGAATATGAGAACATGCCATATCAGTGGGGACAAGGCCACCCAAGGTGGTGAGGTGATAATGAATGAGCCCTGAATTCCACACAAAGAGCTTTAACCCACTCTTACAAGCAGTGGGTATCTAGTGGAGGTTCTGGAGGATTAAAATGAAGGTACAAAAGATTAAACCAGGTAAATTAACCTATCATATGGGTAGAAGAATGGCTGGAACTAGACAGAGAGATAGCAGGTTAAAAGGCAAGGATGCTATCAAGATACTTAAGGTAGGCTAGTGTGAGCTTTGTTACCTGGAATAAAAAAGAAGGGGCAGATCCTGGGATTAAGCAACAGAATTTGGTAATAAACTGAATTTGGAAATGAAAAAAATGTCAAAACTGCTTGCCTCTGACCCTATCTTACTCTGAGATTTACACATCAGAGGATACAGAAATAAGAACAAGAAAAAGACGACATGATCAGAGTCTTCCTGATTTTTACAACACACAATTTTATTTCTCTCCCAACAACTTCAAATAATGAACTAAAGTATTAAGTTGAAGAAAACCGAGGCAGTCGATGATACATTAATCGCCTGGCATCTCATTCTACCACATTGTTGTTGGGGCGAGACGTTTAATAAGCGGCATTTAGCTAGACATCCAAGAGGCAATCTACTTCTGTTTCTGCATCCAAACATTCATTCAATGAGACAAAACCAACCAACCCTATGGCACGAAACATGAAAGAGCAATGGACTGAGTGAGGATGCCAGGGTTCTGGTCTCAATCTAAAACTAACCCCACTGTTTCAACCTGAGATGTGTGATTTCCCTGAACACAGATTTTCTCCTCTGTAAAACTTGCCAAAAGAAGACAGGAACTGGGAGTGGCTTCTACTTATGTTCAGCAGAGCGCTGGGATTCTGGGAAGGTATTTCAGGGGGTTCCACGGAAATAAAGGACCTGTCAAGTGGGCAGCCTGCCATCCACCTCCCACAGGCCCCTCACCCTGAGAAGCTCCACTTTACTATCTACTATGCCAGGGATCAAGATGTCATTAAGCCTTCAGTATGATCTTAACCTTCATTCACACCCTTCAGTAAAAATAACAAGTTCTAGATGCTAACAACCTTGTCTGATTCAGCTGATTTCCCAAAGAATAATATTACATGTTGATAGCCATGTAATGGCTATCGACCCATAAGTTAACACTATGATCTTATTTTTCACAAAAGCACAAATGACATACCCTTCTACAGTTTGAAGGAAAGACTGAATTTGCCTTCCAGGAATAAACTTTGAAGTTGGATGAACATAACCAGAGATGTTAGCTAATAATACGAAGGGCTGCAGGTACATACATTAGCCTTATCTTAATATTTTGTTTTAAGAAGCGAGCATTACCTGTGTGATAAAAATTTATTTCTTTAAAAAAAAACCCTCTGACAACTGATCTCTCCTCAGCTCAGAGCACAGGGACTAGGGTAACTTCCCAGGACTCCCTGACCTCAGGGCCTCCGAGCTACATCAACTAGTGAGTCCCCAAATCTGACCTCATTTCACTAGTGGCCTACACTTTGCAATTGCAGAAGCTTGGATGCAAATCAGAGGATTGGGTTGACTCCTCTCTAGAAACAGAAGAAAATAAGGTGGTGGACCAAAATGAACATACTCTAGTATGAAGGTTTCCGAAGTTCTTATTGCAATTTGCAGTGGATCTTGAGAAAATCAACTTCCTGGGTTTTTTCTATTTAGTATTGTTAATTTGGGGAGTATCATCTATGAACTTAAATATTATTAACATAATGTTTGATGTCAATTTGTTATTCTTGTATCCAACATACTAAAGGGGTTTGAGTGTGTGTGTGAACCTTGTGTTTCTGTTTTGTAAATCATGCATGTGTTTGTTTACGTGTCACAAAGGTGTTTCTTACTGGGGGCTGTGAAAAAAAGTCTGAAAAACACTGCTTTGGTAGATACTGGGAGCGAGAGAGAAAGCAGATCTTCACCAGTTTGATCTTAGAGATTTTAGTAAGTTTGGTTTAAAAATAAAGAAGTGAGGGCAGTGAGGAGGGACTCAGTACTTCCTGCGTGATGACCATGTTCTAGACACTGTGCTTGATCTCAACCCACTTAACAGGAGTTGGTCTTTTGGTGGGAGGAAAGGGAGTGGGGAGAAAAAGGGCTTGTCAGGAATTTTGCCTGGGTGAAGGGAGATTCATTCAAAGTTACACCCAGTAAGAGGCAGATTCTGAAATCCAAGCTGACATTCATCTGACTATTAATTACAGTTTCTTAGCTGTAGGTGAAGGAGGCATAGAGAAGCCTAAATCGTTTCTTTAAAGTGAGCTTTAAAAAAATCCTACTTGAGTCTAAATCATGACCACCATAGTCACCATGGCTGACATTTACTAAGCCCTCACTTTATTCCAGGAACTGTATTAAGTGCTTTAAAACCTTCATTTCATTTAATTCTCACACACATGCAAAAAAAAAAAAAACCTTGTGAGATATGTACTGTAATTATCCCCGTTTACTGGAGGCTTTCAGCAGTTCAGTAAATTGACCAACATTATGGATGCAAAATCCAAATGCATATTAAATAGCTGAATGCAGCTTTATTCACATTTCCTGCACAGAGTCAGGGTCCGTGCCTACTAAAAGAGCTATTTCCCCCCTCAAAGTGTTGGACTCATGACAATTGAAATCTCAACTTCGTACCTATGAAATAAAAGTGAGATTAGATGTTCTCTTTGCTCTTTTTCATTCAGCATTCTCTGGTTCTATTGGGTTGGCCAAAAAGTCTGTTTGTTTTTTTCCATAAAATAAAAGAAACTTTTTTCATTTTTACCTATAACTTTATTGATTTGGATATTTTGAGTATGTTGGCTGTCTCCCGCTTTGACTTTTAGTTGGCTGGGGATGTTGCTAAACATCTTCCAATGCATAAGGCAGCCCCACAGCAAAGAATTATTTGGCCAAAAATGTCAGTAGTCCCGAGAAACTTCACAAACCACTTAACATGTTTGACCAGTCACAGCACCTTCTCCATACACTGCACAAATTTTTTTTTGCATTTCAGTTATGTTTTTATCTTTCTTGACATAATAAAGCATAATACACAGAAATTGTTGCACATTTTCTTTCATCTTCAATACTAAAATGGCTGCATAAAAATTCACTAATTTTGGTCTTTTTTAAATGCATGCTGATATGACAGCTGTCACAATACAATCTAACCAAATTGTTTGGAATGAAGTTAAAGACCACTAAGCACAACTAGAACCATCGTACAGCAAAAATTGTTGCTTTACGAAACAACCTTTTGGGCCAATCCAATAAAACATGTCATGCATTTCAATAATGTCAGGCAAATACAGCAGTCTTTATTATTTTACTCCAATATCCTAGCTACTCACACCGCATGGCTGCTGTGGACTTTGAGCTGAACACATGAGTCATCGAAGAGAAAACTGTACAAAACTGGGATTTTTATGAGTTTGCTTTCATAGTCCAAACTGCTGACTGCTCTGGTGGAATTTCAGGCACTTTGATTTAGGTGAGGTTTAGTCCATTTTCTTGTGTATCATGCATGGGTGTCCAATATCTCATCTTTTCAGTTTCAGATAATTTGTAGGCCCTACTTCCTGCAGAAAATGTGGTGAGCTAGAAGACCTTAGGGATACCCATTTTCTAGTTTTTCTACACTTTTGCAATTGTTCCTCAGCTTAATGAAGCTTAAGTTATTATAGAATCTTGTCTCAATGAATTTTCATTACATCTGAGTGATTTTCACGTCCTACCTAGTACGCTTGTAAACATGGAATTCTGCCTGTACCTTCAGATGATATCTTTTCCCTCAGAAAAACACAAGACTTAAATTGGTCTGTGAGCAAATTGAGCTGACCTCCCACTTAGCTGACAAAGAGGGCAAGTTGTTCCTAAAAGTCGGGGGCGGGGCGGGGGGGAGGGGTAAAACAGAATAAAGCAGGGCAGAACTCGAAGGGAAACGTAAGTTCTGGTTTGCACACACCTACACCCTTACTGAAAGGGGCTGAAGAGCCTGCCCATATCATCATCCTACTACCCTCTGCCACCAGGTTTCACTCATGCCGATCCGCACTTCTGTCATATTCCCAGGAGATAACAACCGAGACACACAAAACCATGCTTTCCAAAACAGACAGGGGATTGGCGTAGAGGTTGAAGTGGAAGGAATGATGGGTGGGTGGACACCCGAGGGGGAGATACTAAGCAAGGTGGAAGTTTGGAGGCGGGTGATTAGCAAAAAAGCATACAAGTGACCCTGAAGATGGTTAGCAAAGAGCTAAATGTTGTGGTTCTGTAAAATAGATTCTGAGTCTTAATGAACATCCATTATATACTTGAGGACAGACTAGAATCTCCCAGGAGTAAAGTAAATGCATTTCTAGGCCAATAGGGTTGTCATCATATCCAAAACTTAATAGCAAGTATCAGATGAGAGGAAAAAGTAATTAGGAATTGTAAAAGTGGTGTTACCGCATCTATCTTAGCTTTAGAGACTAAGAAGTGCCTGACGATTGCAGGAGGGGAAGCCTAGAGGGTTTTTTCTTAGTTACACCTGTTTCTGAAAGGCTTGGGCTACTAAAAGAGGAAAACAACAGGTTCCCACAGGTGAAACTATCCAGTCCCCGCACCTCCTGGCACCCCTGCCAAGAGCCAGCGGAGCGAGGCCCAGGCCTCCGCGGCCCTGCCTGTGGCCAGCTCTGCAAAGCAGGCAACAATGGCTTCCAGTCTCCTTGGGCCCAGGCGCTCACCTTTTGGGAGCCAGGTGAAGAGCAGTAGCCAAGGTGCAGGTAACTCGAGGCCCATGCCGGCCCCTCTCTAACCCCTTTCAGCTCAGGCACTCAGGGACTCAGGGGCACTCTCTTCATCAGCTGCCGCCCCAGGACTCAGCACTTCTGCAGGAATGCCTCCGCTTTCCCCTAGCTCCTCGCAGCAGCGCGAGGGCCAGCCCGGACGGCCGGCAGGTACTCGGGCTCATCCCCACCTGAGCCGCTCCCTGCGGCTCCGCCTCCCACACCGGTGCCGCCGTTTCCTGCTCCGCCCCAGGTCCCTGAACACCGCGGGCACCTTGCCTGTCTGCCACCGCGCTGTCTGCAGGCTGCCAGGTATTTTCCCCTTCTGACCGCATAGCGTTTCCTGCCACTCATCCCTCTCACCGGTAGAGAAAGTTACCATTTTTCTCCAGGAGTTCACGGGAAGGAACTCTACCCCTAGATCATCTCTCACCATGTTTTTGTAGAGTTATGTAAACATAACTTAACTAGGGAGTATTTCCTGCGTAATGTTTTCATTCACTCACAGGATCTTGGAAAACATCCCTCCACCCCACCCCCACCCCCGCTAAATACACAACAATATGGAGTTTACACACTATGTCCATTCAGGTTTTCTAGAAACTAAACATATAGGGTATGAACTAGAGAAATAAGCTTAATGACAATTATAAAAGTAACAGGTGTTTATTATGAATAGAAAACTATAAATTCGTGGAAATAAGAAAATATCCTGTGGTACATTTTTTTCCTGTTACTTCCCATCCTGCATGCAGCTCAGCTGCCCCTCAGAAACCTCAGCCTTCCCAAGGTCAAAGATTCCAGGTCTCTTTACAACAGGCCTCTTAGGATATAATTTGTCTCTACTTCTTCCTTAGCAGGAACCCACAGGAAGGGGAAAAGGAAAATAAAGGAGGAGGGCACATTTGCCTTCAGTTGCCAACCAATAACATTAATTTGGAAAATTACCTATACAGTGATCAACGTGAATAGACAGCAAACCATTTTATATGACTTTCTCTTATCAGGGATTTTTCATCATCCTCCCCCTTCTGTAACAAACACAGTTCTCCTTCCTCCCAGCCACCATCTTTCTCCTCAAGAAAAGAATTATAAAGGTGCATTTAACATGGTTTCTGCTCCTCAGAACATCTCCATTCTGGTTACTAACCTTAGAGGTCAATATTATTTCTCCTAAGTGTATCCCTGCCCTGCTCTGCTCTGAAGAGTCCTCTTCACGGATGTAACTGGTGTCCCCCATCTCACCTCCACCCAAAACAACATCCTCGGCCTCAGTCTGACTGGAGTTCTCAACACAGTCTCTCCTGCCCATCTTCCCTCCCCCTCCTCCATTCCTGGGTCTGGCCTCTGGTTCCCTAACTGGGCCTCTCCACTTTAAATATTTTTCTTGTAGTTTCTCTTCCAGAAAATAGGAAGGAAATTCAGGAAGTCATGACCAAGGGCAGATGGTACAGTATGTTCAGCAGTCTTTAAATCTTCCACAGTGGGATCCCAGCACAAGAGCTGCAGGATACAATGTGAGTGAAAGATGCTCCCCCTCCCCCACCCAGAGCCCCTGCACATGCTCCCAGGAACATCGTATGTGTTTGAGTGTTTGTAACCCTGAAGGATTTGTGTGGTTGCTGCTTAGTGAGTTGTTCTAGGCAGATTTTCAGTCCCAGTCTATATAAGTATGAACCTTCTCCTTCCCACACCTACCTCCTATATTCCTTAGCCTTGCTTTGGGATAAAGGTCATTTTAATAGTCATGGAAGCCAGCATTTCTCCATGTTTATTTCACAACAGTAGTTTTGTGGAATGTTAAGAAATAGTATATGGGGTCAAATAAACTCAAGAAATGCTAGATTAAACTAAATAAAATATTTTCTCAGGATTTACCAAACCCTTAGGGTGCTAGTGTATATTTGAATTTCCAAGGGAACATTTCTCACCATTGTCCAAAGACAAAACCTTTTTTTGCCCCCTACACATATCTTACACAGATGTGTCATAGATATCTTGGGAAATCCTGGTGTTCTAAACATGACCGGGGAGAATACTTTGGAGACTTCTGTAGGAACAACAAAAAAATGACTTTAACAAAGGTTGTCCAAATGCAGGAGAATTAGAATTTTTATTTTCTCTTGGGAATCACTTTCAGTTGAACATCTACCTCTATTGCTTCTTTTAGAGTGAACACTTTATGGTTAACTTGCTATGTTTCTCTGTTGACTGCATGCAACTTTTTTCTTCACCACTTATGTATTATGCACCAAGCAATGTCCTATGTACTTTACATGCATTATCTCATTACATTCCCACAATAGCTGTATAAAATAAGAAGTTATTATCAATCACACTTTACAGATGTGAAAGCTGAGGTACAAGGAAATAACTTGCCGAAGGTAACAAAGATAGTAAGTAGTGGAGTTACCAGTCTATGGTAGACTGGAATCAGGTAGTCTGATTCCAGAACTAATGCCCTTATCTATTACACCATACCCTTTCACATAGCTATATCTCCATCTGTATTAACAGCTAACTGACTCTATCAGTGTGTGCTAATGCAGTTTCTTTCCACATATGTCATTTAGCTTTGCATAAAGAAAATTCCATTCCACTGGCATGAGCTCTCCTGGGCCAGTCACAAAAAACAGTTCTTTCATTGCTGAATATAGAAGTAAAAATCACTCAACTTGCTGATAGTGACTGAGACTAAAGTATACTCATATACAAAGTAATAATAATAACTACCATTAATAACTACCATTTAGTACATATTGTGGTAGGTGTTGTTCTAAATACATTTTTGTATTAAACATGAATAATTCTCTCAACAACACTATGAGACAGGGACTGTCATTGTCCTCATTTTGCAGCTTAAAAACTTGAGGCACAAAGGTACAGTTACTTACTCAGGATCGCCCAGCTTGTAAGGAACAGAGCTGAGATGCAAACTCAGGCCATTTGCCTTCAGAGCATACACCCTTTATCACTAGCTTAGCCATGCTATGCTTCTTTGTGTTAACAGGTCCAGGGTCTAACCACAAAGTACTGAGTTTATGATCTCATCTTTTACAATCACACTTGTTAGTTGAAGTTGTGTCTGTGACTATTTCTGAATACTGCATCTATATGCACATGTGCCTCTGTATTTGAGAATCATGTGATATTTGTTCATCTACAAATGTATATTTATCCAGAATTGAGAAAAGAAATGTCAGAAAAGAAAATAAACATATAAGTAAACACATCCCCAGGCAGTTAAAGCTAAAAAAAGGCAAGAAATAAAAGTACTATTAGTGCAACATTTGTAATACAGTTGGCCCTCTGTATCCAAAGTTCCACATCGTCAGGTCCAACCAACTGAATCTCTCGAAAATACAGAGGGCCGGCCAAAGGACTTGAGGATCCATGAATATTGGTACCCATGTGGAGTTCTGGAACTAATACCCCTGGGGTACAACTGTATATATTATTCATCTTTGTATGGCTAGCATCTAGTATAATACCTGGCATATAGATAGTACTCAATAAATATTTATTGAGCTCTTTATCCATACTTTTTGGGAAGTGAGCTGTGAGTGGGGTTCAAAACGAATATGACTTTGCAAGCCAAGCAGGGAGAACAGCATGTGCAAAAATTTATGGCACCAGGAAATAGCATAGTTAAACTATAAGCATTTAAAATTTGCTAAACTATAGCACAGGGTGGAGATCGGTAGGAAAGTATGTTAGAGAGTTAGCCAGGGTAAATAAAGGGCTTGCATAACCAGCTAGAGAAATAAGACTTTATACAGCCAGAGAAATAAGACTTTATACAGTAGACAATGGGAAGCCAGTGAAGGGTTTTAAGTCTGACAAACATGATCAAACTTGTATTTTAGAAAAATAAGCTTGGCAGCAGTGGAAAGAATGGTAGGCAAAAAAAAAAAAAGAGAGAGAGAGAGAGATGAAAGGCAGGAAAAACAGTTAGGAAACTGTTACTAATGTCAAAGTGGTAGATTCTGAGGGCTCAAGCCAATTAGTGGTGTTGGGAATGGAAAGGAAAGAATACTTTGGCTGATAAATTAGATGTGGAATTTGAGATAAAAATATAAGTTTCTGACTATTAAACCTGGGTGGATGATATCGAATTTAAAGAACATAGATATATAGAAAGGTTTTTAATCACTTTATATACATTGTACCTGAAAATATAGTGGACTATCCAAATGAAGTGCTTATGGATGGTTAGAATAGTTTGTTAAATACAATTGATCAAATGAGGTTGGTAGGCCCTGCATATCTATATAGGGAAGTCTGGGTCAGTGGGGTCCTGGGTGACCTGCTTCTTGGTTAGTAGGATATAATAAGATAGAATAAGATAGTTAATCTTGGAGTAAAGCTAAAAGCAAGCGGTGGAGGAATATAGCAAAAGGAGTCTGGGAGCAAATATGTTCATGATTACCACTCCTATTTTAATATTATATTAGATATTATAACTAGCACAATAAGGAAATAAAAATAAAATGGCTGAAAATGAAGAGTAAAGATATTACTCACAGTATTATGATTATACAGAATATTGAGAATCTTATGTATAAGGACCAACAAGAGAGGTTGCTAGAAACAAGGACAATATATTAATATGTCCTTAATGTCACTAGAATTTGTATATACCAGCAACATCAATTGGGAAGATTGACTTTAAAATATAGATGTACAATAGCAATAAATCTATAAAGTAACTAGAAATAGGTCCAACAATATATGTGGAACAGTTTTATAGAGAAAATTAGTAAAGTTACAGAAAACATTAAAAAAAACAAATCAATGCAAAAATGTACCATGTTCATGGATAAGAACATTTAGTATTACTAAGGATGATTATTTCTCTAAATTTAATCAATAAATCCTATATTTTTCTTAAAAAATACAAGAATATTTCCTCAGAACTTCATAAGTCATTTCTAAAGTTGAATGGAAATTATAGGTGGTAAATAGCCAAGCTAACTTTGAAGAGAAATAAGAAGGAAGAGGGAAATCTGCCTCTTAAAATGATGAAACTAGAGCAATTAAAACAATGTGACATTCATATATATAATGTCAGTCCAAAAGGTATCCAGCCATATAATATGAAAAATAGAGACATTTTTTGAAAAAGATACAAGATACAAGAAACATTGTACATAGGACAATGACATCTCAGTCCCCTTCAAAGTAGGCACCTTGGAACCTCACAC